AGATCGAAAGGTTTGTAGCTGAATCGATCAGTTTGTGTTTGCCAGTATCAACCAGTAGCTGATAGTGTTGCATGAGATCCATGCCAATAATACCGGTAGTTACATCTGCCACAAGGAAAACCCAGCGAAATGACCTACGTAGGCCTATGTTAAGATCCAGGAACCTTTTGCTGTACGTTGTGATTGGCGAACCGTTTGCGGCGCGAAGCTGTAAGGAAAGTGGCCTCTTGCGCTCTTCATCTGTTGGTGGAATCACGCTAACTTCCGCCCCAGTGTCAACCAGGAAGCCTGTCCCAGTGTTACGGTCGGTAACATAGAAGAGGCGACATGGAAGTGGTTCGCCAGCGACGTTAGTCGCCAATACATGCTGGCTTACTGGTTTCCCGATTGCTGGCCATCAAAGGTGCACGGGCGAGTGCACTTTTGGGCCTTATCACCATAACGCCGGTGATACCAGCACACTCCAGGTTGGGAATTTTGAGGCCTACGACGTCTGCTGCCAGCTCGTGAAGAAGATCTACTACGAGTCGAGCTGGTGCGGCTATTCGAACGACCTCTAGGTGTCATCTCCTGTTTTAACTTATCTATCTCTTCATAAAGCTTAGATATGTAGGCCACCACATCTAATTTTGATGACCCTTCGGTAGAGGAGTCCTTCGTCTGAGTTACGGTTACGGCCATCCCGCGAACAAGACGATATATATATAGGATGATAACAACAAATATGATAACAAAAAAAATATTAGTAAAAACAAGGCAAGTAAAATTTTATAACTGTGAAAAACAATTTGCCAATATGAAAAAAGACTATTTACACTTTAGGCTACTAAGTAGGCAAACGGTGAAAACTTGGGCTCACCACTTGTGTGAGTTACACTTAGGATTACTTTGACCTAACAATAACCGCTCTTACAAAACTCTTTCACCGTTTATGACCTTAATTAGTACTCTGCCTACGTGCAAGTACTAAAGAACGGAATCAAAGTTAAAAGACTTGAAATGGCAAGTGTAACTGGACCGGAATTGTATTTACACAAAGAGATATGGAATTTGATAAGAAATAAAAAGTATACACTTATCTGGAGGTGAGACGGTGGTCAGCTCAAAGAGTGTACTAGATGAAAGTACAGCGAGAGAGCGAAACCGAAACCGTACAGGAGGATCAGGAATACAAAGTGGAAGTGGGGTTAAAGGTCAGGTTGCGTTCATTCAAACAAAAGTTCAAAGGTACAATGTACACTACAAGTCAATGATATACTGATTATATATATGTATATACATATATATATACTGAAGCATTCCTTTTAAATTTTCATTAACGATTAAGAAACTAGATGAGCAATATGGCACTTTTATTTGTTGTGTAATATGCCAGTGTTTCCTCAAGTCTGACACCTTCAGTTATCGGCATTCTCACTTCTGACCCAGTGTGCTTATTTAGTCTTTCTGAGTTACTGATCGCTCAGATAATGAGGTTTTATTCTCACTATTCATTTGGTCCGAAGATTTTTTTTATCGAAATCTATGGAACAGACTTATAGATAATGCCCATTTGTGAAATTCTGCTCATTCGTGAGGGTTTTATGTATGATGTAATAATGAAAACTTCATTTCTGGCTAATGTTATTTCAGAATCTATACGCTAACCAGATAATAAAAAGCCTTATTAGTAAATAACAACCTAAATTCAGCGTAATCTTTGACAAGACCTGACATCCTTCGATGTTTGAGTGAAGACGTTCAACTAAATGAGAAGATTTCATGTTATGTTTGGCCTCCCTTACTGGACCTTAAACTAATCGCAAACATATTTCGACATTTTCAAAGTCGATTACTTTTTCCCCATGATTCTAAATTAGGTATAATCGGTCGCAAAATAAATTTAAACGTATAACTACACCCCGAAAGAATTAGCTGGAATTTGCTTACTTTCTCATTTTGAGAGTTTGTTACATTCTTACCAGCTGTTTGTTTCATATATAAATTTTAAGTGGGATTATAATGTATACAATAAGTCCAGAATAACTCAACCATTGCAGCTTGATTCACTTTCGTAAGGGACAACAAACTCATGACTTGCTTAGTGTGGATAATTTTCATGAAGTGAAGCAAATGTACTGAGACGGTGTTAACACATTTCAGTGTTTGTAAGAGCATTAGCATAACTTCCATGTCACTTAGTGTAGTTTCAACCAAGAAGTGATCCTTTCATAATTTCAACAAATGTGACTACGAACAGATAATACCCAATATATCACGAACACTTGATGAACGATTTTTTGTAGATATCGACGTTACAACTAGCTTCTGACCCGGTAGTTTTTCTCAGAACCACTACCGATGACATAAAAAGGCAAAAAGGAAGACACCAATCGAAGTTATTTGCTGTCACTAGCATACACTTTTTCCGATCGTTTATAACCAGTGATGCAAGATCAGGTGCACTTTTTGCAGTAGCACCATGAAGTCTGGTATCGTCACAAAGAGGACAGATTCAGACGTGATTTTAAATGTCTGTTTCGGGTATGGGAGGCAGATTCGCTATGTTGGCGGGTCCTGTAGTCTTAGGAAAAATCACCATCTTGAATACTTCCTAATCTGCATAACTTTTCATACAAACTATTTACCTCAGGCACAGTCAAGCACACCCACTGCCAACATACTGAGGAAACACATGCATTTTAACATGAACCATTGCAGTTGAAAAGCCCCTGTTGGCCTCTACATCAGTAAGCCTCATTTAAGGGGATTGTGAAACGGCACTACGATTCTCTGCATTGTGTGAATTCTTGCAACTACAGTTGCTTAAAGAATGTATCATCCAATCTGAAGTCTAACACTACCTATTTCATTCGCTGAAGCAGCTGCGTTGTGCTTATGCTTGAAGAGATACCCTGTATTCCACTGAGCAGTGCATGCAACATGTTTGATGAAGGTGATCTTAGTTGTTTAGCGTTTGGTCATCCAAGAAGTCTGACACCTTTTCGAAAAGGTTTTTGGACAAACTCACACTGAATAAGCTCGGTTCCGATGCTTACCAGTAAAAACACTAAGAAGAAAACTGTACTTCCAAGAACCATGCGGACAGTCCATGTCGCTTAGAGGCGAAAAGCTGAAGAGTTATAGCTATTCGAGCTTGAAAGTCATAAGTCTCAGCAACTAATAAGGAATAAAATTTGGTGGAGAGCGAGTATGAAGACAATTACAATGCAGAAAAAAGTGAATACAAAAACAAAACCTTTCTGTGCAGAAAACAATGGGACAAAGTAGTCATCAAAAATGAAAGCTACTAGTTGAACTGAGGTGATACGATAACTCGTATATTGTGAAGACTGGATGAAGTTATTCTGAAATAAGTAACCCATCTGCTAGAATCAGTAGCTTACCTAGCCTGTTAGCAGTAATAGCGAAGAACAAAGTCAAAAGATCAGATTCTATAAGAGTCTGTTAACAAGTACGCTAAATTTAGGCGAAATGAAAGCTATGGGAATTATCCACAACGAAGTGTAAAAGTTTCATAGCCCGCACGGATGCATTTTCGCAAACGCGAAGCTGAAAATACTTTAGGTTTTTTGAAAGTAGCAGTTTATTTCGTTTTAATCCATTTATTTTAACCGTAGCTGTTTTGGTGCCGGAAATTCGGACTAAGTGTTCACGCTTTTACACTACTATTAATATATCATAATCTCTTTAAACATATGTCGTTTGATCATCACTGACTATATTACTTTTACGTATAGTATCTTAACTCGGTGAGGCGATTCGGAGTAAAACACACTGAACCAATGTTTGCTATTGTCAGACATAAATCTTTTGAAGCCTCACTCTCTAATTCCACTTCGACCTTTAGTTTCCAACCTGCAGTAACTAGTTGTTTGTGTTTTGCACTATGTCAGTTGGTTTAGGTACTACACATATTTTATGTAACCGTCAAGTTGCTTTTTAAAGAGTAAGAGCACCGATGTCATCCCACTGTCAACGATATACGGTGACTAGTTAAAACGTCTACTTTGCCCTTTAAAGTCTGCATTTTATTGTGGATTTTACTTGCTGTGTTGCAGAAATAACAATACAAGGATGCCTATTACTTCTAGGTTTTCCACGTCAATACTATCTTCCCATAGTAAAAGAACCTGCCAATTATGTGTCAGTATTGTCACAGTCACATTTGATACATCATACCTTTATCTATATGTCGACTTACTGGTTGTAAAGGCGTCTAACCACCTAACTTTATATGTTTCTGGGTGTGAAAATTAATATGTATCAAGCGATAAAAGGTTAACGGATATAAGTTGTGTGGTGTCAAATAGTTTGAAAACTGCAATATATATATATATATATATATATAATTTACTCCTATTAGCATCCAACTTCAGCGTTAATTTGTGAAGAGATGTGCATGCAGTTGAACTCAATGGCATAATGTGGACAGCTAAAGCTAGATGAGGAAGATTTTAAACTACAGTGAAGACGTATGCCTAGATGTGGATTAACGCTTCAATCTATTCCAGACTATATCATCAGTGTGTATGACACTTAAATTATCATTAAAAACCAAAGCACAGTAATCATCAGTTTCAGATTCTTTAGCAGTGAGTAAGTATGATGCGCAGCACCTAAATGAACCTATAAATCAGGTGAGCTACAAAAAAGTCAAGTGTCTTGATTATCGACGTAACTTTTTATTCGTATTAAATTGTAAAGAAAATAAATAAATAAATAAACTAGGGCGTGACAAGTACAGTTTATTTACACTAGAAATTTCAAGATGCATAGTACGAAAAATCATAGTAAATTACCTGAGAATGATTCACAGATAATAGGGAAAAATAACAGAAACGTGAAATTATTCAAAATTAACAATACAAAAAGGAGACAATTTAATAAAATGCTTAGAAGAAAAATTATCAGTTAGAAATGGATGATAAACATAAGTGGATTGTATTCATACATGTCACTACTCAGTGATTAAAAACTGAAGATATGGATGATTCGCTTCAGTACGGAAGATCAAAGTGAACACAGCATAAGGAATCGGAAGGTGATACTGTAAACTTTGCGATAGATCCTGACACAAAGGGGAAGGTGAGACCGCCGTCAAAGACTAAATGTCCTTCATCCATAAGCGACCGTACATATAGACTACAATGATATTAACAGAAGCAACAATTAAGGTTAAACACATGGAAGCAGTTCTGATGTATTAGCACCAAACTATTATAAGTTATTTTAGCACATTGTAGATAAACACACATCAACACTAGGAAGTATTAATTTCTACAAGTCACTAATTACTAATTTGTGGAATCTAAACCTTCAGAATGACAGCAGCACTTTCATTTCAGGGGAATAAGGATGCAGTCTTACGAAGAAATTAGAATGCGGTTCATAGGTAAGTTCTATAAGAAAAAATGACCTACGGTACCACTATTGTTTTTTTCCAAATAGTGTCAATTCATGATTCACTTATTTTGGTTACTGTCCATCCACTTCCAGATTTATAAGTAGCGCTAAACGATAAACATCCTTTTCTGGTTCTTAAGGTTTTAAAATAAAACTTATCATTTGTACCTATCCTTCAGTAGTCGTCAAATCCTCATCAGGAAATTCAAGGACAATTCACATGATGTCACAACTAATATGATTATAAATAAAAAGTTGTGTTCGAAAAGACATCCAGTAAATAATAAATGATTCACCGTGATAATATCCAATAAGCGAATTAGTATGGAATTACATACTACTAAGCTGCACAAGTTGTACATACATATTAATTTCATAATATGCCTAAATTTAACTGAATGCACATACAGACTCAACTGTCTACAGTTATATATATAGTAAGATTAGACAGTCCCGTCTCTGAATTCGAGAAATTTCTTTCACCTGGCCGAAAAAGGCGATTATATTCTCGCACACTTAGTAGACGCAAAGGATCATCTGGACGGTAATATAGCCTCTACTGAATTAAAACGCTATTAAAAGCAGTTCACCTATGTTCTCATTATATAACTGCAGATGTGGCGACAGGATCGACCAATCCAGAACTCTGTATACAGAGAAGACAAGTTCAGAAATCATTTCCCCCTAGGTCATGCCTCTGGACGAAATTCCATCCCCCATTCATAAATATATTGATATTATCAAGTAATTGTGTTTACTAACAGTTATTTCCTTCATTTCACATGCCGATTACTTCATGTTGAACTGACATTTTTTGTATGATACATATCATCCTACTACTAGCCAGTTACCAAACACATTCCACACCCTTGAAAAAAGTTATCGAATGTCTTTTTATCATGACTAATAACTATCATTTACTTTGTGGTTTAATGGAAGAACACTCGTTAACCACACGCGTGATCCAGAATCTACTCCCGGCCAATGTGCTCCTAAACTTCACCTACTTTACTGACCAATGACAGGCCCGAAAAACGGAGGGGGCGTGTGTGAGGCTAGCAACTTTACCCCGTAAAAATAACACCACCGCTCCTGGAACTTCAGAAGCTTGAAGCCGTATGGTCCCACTCGGAACGCACGGAATGTATAAGTGCATTTTCATAATATTCCGTCTAAGTACTTGGTTAACCAAGTCTTTCAATACAAACACCGTTTTTTCTCTTATTTTACCACTTGAAACTCATTAGATTTCATATCCGTAATCATATTCTACGTAAAAAAAGTGTGTTCACTACATATTTGGCTATGGTTATAGTGGTAACAGATGTTTAACTTTATAACTTTAAGGACCCAACAAGAGTAATATTCACAGAAGTACTCTTCGTTCAGACCTACTTTTGATTCATACTACAGGAACACATCTACCTCTGGAATCTAAAATTTAGCTTTCATGACATCACAGATAAATTCATGAAGTAATATGTCAAAAAACTTCAGAACTAGAGAATTATACTTTCGCAGAAGGTGTATTAGGGCGAAACAGTTCTTATGAACCTTTTGACTTCTTAGTTAATTCTTCTGTATAAGCAATCTGACAAAAGGCTGTGCTAGAACTTGCTACACATTCTTCGTTGTGCAAGCACAAATCTAAGAAGTTTATTTCATTTCTTTAGCACAGATTTGTAAACGCCTTATACGATATTTTCGTAAGCTCATATTTTTAAGCTACTGAGATAAGGATGTCAGTTCAGAAATGCATATTTGTGGGAGATGTTATTGTCAGCAATTTTGTCCATTTGTCAGGAAAGTTAAGCTAAGAAATAATGACAAGGATTAGTAGTTCAGTTGGATGTTTTTGGTGTGGTTATCTGTCTCTGAGGTTGATAATCAAGCTAGTTTTCGTGTTCCTACTTTAAAATAAAAGTAATGGGTATATACTCTAACTACTTCCTTTGGCAAAAAAGACTCTTTCCAAAAAGAAATATTTTCCAATCACTATGCTTAATGTAAATCAATTCTTTTAGAAGAACTGTACTAAGTTATAAGTTGCAAACAGTTTCCTGAGGGTAGACTTACTTTTTGCAATTTTTTTACGGGTTGATCACCAACTGATATCAGTTAGAGAATCATTGAAGACCAGGGAGTACTGGATAGCTGCTGTTCCATCCTAGTTTGGGAACCAGTACTCCCTGGTTTTCAATGGTTCTCTAACTGATATTAATTCGTGATCAACTCGTAAAAACATAACTAACCCTTACAAACCAAACTATGAAGAACAATTTTATTTTGTTTTTTTAAATTTATGGATTGATGCAGTACATAAGTCAAAATTATCAACCCATCAGTTTTTCTTTCTTACTTCATTTGTATTTCCAGTCAACTGTATGAATGAACGTGAATTACTGGTAGGTGAATAACAATCTACTGTTTCAAGTGATAAGAGTCAAGCCTTAACATTAACTTTCCATATCAACACATCTCATGGTGGCTCAATAAGAAAGTGAACTTTGTGCCGCTAACCATTACCATAGTTATATTTATGGTCGGTCGGTCGGTCGGTTTTCGACATAGAACTTTGCACATATGTGCGGCAGTTCAAGTCGCCACAATCTATGTAGCACGCAAAGCAAGAGAAGGAAGTAGAAGAAATGCATAATATAGACAGTAAACAGAGGTGTGAGACAAAGGAATAGTAATAACGGAGAACAAAAGTTTAATTGGAAATCATAAGTCACAAGGAGTGGATGCATCTGCGCCACTGAGAACGATTTTGAGCCATGTCACCAATTGTTTCCAACCATTGGTTTTTACCATCCCGAGGGCCCCAACCAGGAAGTCTACATCTTCCTACGTGGCTTAGATTGACTGTTGTGGATTTCATTGATTGGTGCCATGTTTTGGTTTGACCGCCGCTAGCTCTTTTCCAGCCTGACCCTATATCAGCTAACATTGCCCGTCGAGGAAGGCGATGACTAGGCATACGTAGCACATGTCTTAGCCATCTCAGTCGAAGTAATTTCACAGTCTCGTCGATTGATTTCCCCGCCTTACCTAGCACTCGACGCCTAACCTCAATATTGCTCACCTTATTATACCACTTCACGCGGGAGATAGAACGCAGGCACCTATGATCGAAGACAGCTAATGTTTTCATGTCTTCTGCTCTCAATGGCCAGGTCTCACAGCCATAAAGGAGGACGGAGCGGACTGTTGAGCAGTACACACGCCCTTTGGTCGATAGTCGGATATCGCGTCTACGCCAGAGACGGCGAAAACTGGCGAATGCGAACCTAGCCCTCTGTATTCGTGCTGAAATTTCGTCGGAGATCAACCCGTTGGGGCTGATGGTACTTCCCAAGTAAGAGTTATATTTATGAAAGAAGCTGAACTCTAATACACAAGTGAAAATTATTTTGACGCCAATACTTGAAGGATATTTAGTTGAAAGACATGGTCATTAAAAACATGAACTTACTTTGAAGCGAAACCACGTGGTTGAGTAACATTAAATATAGCTATTGTAGAAAATGAAAAGAAAAAAGATGTAAGCAATGCACATTAATTACGAATTGTATTGCACCAGTTTATTAGTTCTAAAAAGGTTGTAGATATGATCTTTCCTAATAGATAATTAAGCAAGATCTCATACCTACAGGTGTGTATATATGGGCGAAGAAATTTGTTCCCATGCATGTACACACAGTTCACAAGTGGCAGTCAGATTCACTATATAACATTATTTTACATGGGTATATATTTTACAGTAGTATATATATATATATAATTTCAATGCAGGTTAAAAATTTATACACAAATGCTTTTGTGGAGACATTTAAATAGGCAAAGCGACCAAGCAAACTCAACGCTGCATTGTCCAACATCATTGGGTATAGGAGTTATAAGGTCCATCAAGAGTCTAATACTACCATACCTAGTGAATACGGAGTACAAGACTTACAATCCAGTCTTTACCATTCAATAGAAGATGCCTTATCACCTCTAAGTTTGTACATCATCAACTTCTAAACACAGCTGAGCCAGTCGCCATCGAAATCTCTTACACTAATCTATGCGTTCACAAAAACTTTAATCAGTCATTCTTCTTCGCATGTCCCTCACCTATAATCATGAATAGTTTCCTTTACAGGTGACACCGGATAACTGTATGTATTATCTCTATTTGTGCTGTTATCTTCTATCTTATACTTAGTTTCACAACTTATTATAAAACCTAATACTCCGTCTAATTGTTATGAGGCAGTATTGATTTATTCTCACTATCCCGATTTATAAACATATTCTACGTGTAAGTTCACAACGACTGACTACGTAGATTATATAAACACTTGCGTGAATTAATCCTTTATTCTACTTCACAAATCCATCTACCACATTGATATCAAATGTTTACTTTTAATAATTTTACCAAACTGTATAACTTAATGACAAATTACGGAAAATACGTGTTTGTTTAAATTATAGCCTCTAAACTAACCTATGTTGAATTCCAATCTTGTGGTTGTGTATGATATAGAAACAGCTGAATTTAGCACAAACTGTAAGGAATAAAAGACTATTCAAAACTACTTGATCCTAGACAGTCCCTTCAGCTGTGTCTTATAATGATAAAAAGTGTTGTTGAATTACAGTTTTCGTTAAAATATATATTTGTTGATATTAGATAGTTGGAGGCAATCGGCAGGAAGACTTGGACCTAGGTTTCGGGCTAGTTGGCACTCACCAGTCAGCAAGGCGTATCTGCAAGCTTGAAGGAACTCATGTCACTTCTGAGATTCGAACCCACGTCACCCAGTGCTGCAGTCAGAGACGTTACCACTGAGCTGTTCGGGCTCGCGATTGACCTCCTGTAGGACTGTAGTGGGTAGTTTGATTGGACACTAGTAACTAGTGTGACGTGTCTAGTAATTTCTTTGGTGCAGACTGAACTCTATCAGTCAGGTTTGCAATGTGGCCACCATTCTAGATAGCTCGCCATCACGGTGCACATTGATTTGATGATATTAGATAGTTGGAGCTGCTGATTCATATCGGTGCTATGTTTACACTTGCTTCTACAGAGCCAAAGAAGCGTGCTGCAAAAAGCTTCTTTTGACTTAACCATCCATAATTCCTTTCCAACCTCATCCTATGTCCGTTAATACTGCTAAGCAAGGAACGCGATCATTTGGCATGCGTAACACATGTTCTACCCATCTCAATTAATGCAACTTTACAACATCATCGGTTGACTTTCCCTCTTTGCCTAACACTACGCCAAACCTGAGAGATAGAACGCAAAATCTGTAGTCAAAGATAGTTAGTCTTTCCAGGTCTTCCATCTTCAATGTCCAAAACTTTAAAGCTGTGAAGAAGGATGAAGTGAACTCCCAAAGGTGACTCAAGGATGCATAGTTGGTTTACTGGTTGCTCGAGGAGAATACTTTACTGCAATTGCAGCAGTCTCCGTTAAAAATGCAATCACACCCTAAGATCACCATCATAGTGAAAACAAATTAAATTATGACAGTAACTCAGTTTAGTCTTACTGACGATTGTAGTAAGATGGACCTAGAGAACCGTTCATTCCAGCCACGTAGAACGTTGGCTCATTGGCATATGAGAACAAACACCATGTTAAGGTAGCAGCAATCACTGGTAGTCATTATACCCATCAAAGAAGTTCATTATTAAACAAATTACTTCATCTTCATCTACACATTAACAGTGGACAGAAACATGAAAATTGAAGTCTGTTATCAATATCAATCAATATTTGGTTGGAGAAAGAAAATTTGAGTATGAAATACATCAAAACGTACCATTAGTTATCGGATCTCGAACACTATACAACATTTTACAGTCTTCTGGACTAAAAACAAGCGATTTGTTGTGTAATGCCTCAGCCCTTTCAGTCAGTAATTCTAAGTAGGCAGCATCTGAAGTATTTGATATTTGATGCTGGTCAGTAACATTTAGTTGTTCAACATTACAGTTTGACGAAGATGTAAGAACTTCAGATTGTGATGTATTTAAAAAAGGAACTATATGTCGGATTGTTTTTAACAATTCCATGAGATTTGGTTTAGGTATTTTATTGATCTGAAGAGACCAAGACGTTGATCCTGTACCCGTAGAGATAACTATGCCGCTGGATTTTTGTTTTTCACTTTTAGCACCGTCAACTGAGATATCGTAAACGGACACACTAAACAATGATGAAAAGTAAAGTGAAAAGTATCATTGTATTCGTGCTTTATTGACCCCTACTTGAAAGACGACCTGCTAGCAATAAACATCTACCTGACCGACTATTTCAAACTGGTTGCCTGTGAGGGTAAGCAGGTATAGGCTCCTATCAACCTTTAAACAGTAATCTGCACTTGAACAAAGCAAACTTTCAAATGTTAATCTCTAACCGATCAAGTAATTTTTGGCTAGGGTTTATAATTACGACCTACCACAAACTAAAGCATATTCAAAATCCAGAGAAGTACTATGGATAGTAAGGTGGTTTTAAATACACAGACACCACCAACAGTTAGTATAAATGCGATCTATTCGAGTTCACGCTTGAATGGCAGACAGGGGGAGAATACTAGGAAGCACTATCGCGATACTTGTGCTAGAAGTTGTCTCTGGTTAAAAATGGATTGTGATCCGAGTGAAATCGCAAAAGACGATCCCCACTTCCCGACCTACGACTATCACCATTTGAATCTGTATTGATTCTCCTGTGGGCCTAAACTCCTAAGCCTGCAGCTAGCACTATGATATCTGACAAAAGAGCTTGCTAGAAAAGCCCACTCAGTTGATGGTAAAACTAGTCGCTGCTGTTATCCGTTAATGCCTAGAATAAGATGACGAAAAGAAAACACTTCCCTTCCTTACTGTAGCATGATCGACTCACCTAACAAAACATAAACAACTGTTAATAGGAATGTAGCCGAGTAGTGCAGCAAAGGCTCTTACGCTTAGCACAATACCGACACCAGCTACACTGGACGCCAATGCCACAGGATTCCCAGATAAGCACACATAAAAGCTACTACTTGAGCTGAAAAATGGAGAAGTTACACGAAGCACTTCACCGGGATCTTGCATGAGCATACATCTATAGGGGAACTTTCTAGGGTTCTGGTTAAATCTATCTGTTGACTGAAAACTTGCTTCAAGAACAGAAGCATAGCTCCACATAAAGAATTTTAATAGTTTACAGTATAAGCAACGTATACTTAAATACTTTTGACAAAAAAAAGAAACAAACAAAAACAAAGCTATGTAGAAAGTCTTGTAGAGCTAAATTGAACTAACTTACCATGCACTTAAAGATTCTCCAGCAAATACCTCATTCAACGCTAAAACAGGTAATACGGTTGTAGTCATATCCTCTGAGCAACAAAAGGGTGGGAAAAGTTCACACGATGATACATCTAGTGCATAATTTGACGTTCCAATTTCAAAGCCATCTCGGTTAATTGGTTTACGTTTATCTAATGGCTGCATTTGTAAATTTTCACCCTTAAGATGAGTTAAAGTGACGCGTATACGCCGACGTAAAAGCCATCTTAAAAATTGAACCAAACATTAAAAGAATAGGTGTATAACACTGAGACTTTATCAAAATAAATTTTACCGATAATGACATTTGGATAGAGTTTTAATCAATGAGTTGTAAACAATGAAGATGTGTATGTTTAATGCTGTACAATACAGTAATCATTCTACATATCAAAGGTATTTTTATTACAAAAGTTATATTGTCACTACGACCTTAGTATTTCAATATGTTAGGCGTCATTTTATAGACACCAAATACTTACTAGACATCGCCAATCAAGTAAGACAATTGGTAACTTAAAACTCATTTGAGACTTCCTTAGCAGCATGTAGCCACTATATCTTGTCAAACCAACCTTCAGTTGCTTTTTTGGCTGTTTCGCTACTAGACCTAATTTTTAAAACCAGTAGATTTGTAGTGCCACTAACCAATGGATTCGAATCCCACTCCACTGACTTCAACCTAAGCAACTGGGTAGAATCTTTGGCTTTCACACAACATGTGTGACTCATAGCCGAATGCCATCAAAACCAAAGGAACCTGCAGATGAATAAATAGCCATCATTAAACTAGTAGTTATCAGTGATCTAAAAGAATTATGTTGAAGTTCAAGAGGGGTGTTTGACCTGATAACTTAAAGTTAGGCTATTGTCACGCGAAATCTGAACCACAGGAAACGCACTGAAATAAAACTCGGGTCAAAATAGTCGCTTGTAATGAAATCAACGCAGGTGTATAACATGACACATAATTATATCGGGTGAAACATCACGTAGATAGTTCCACACCATAATAAACAATTTTGAGCCATATCATCACTGACTCTTAACACCTTGACGAACCCACTTTGACCAATTACGGTTTTCTAAATGGCCTAAATTGAGTCACAAACATTGTGAATCAGTATTTTGTTCCCACTTAATCATCGTTAACTTTGTTTCACCTTATCCTATTTAAACTGACACAAATCTCATAAGAGGTTCACGGATTTAAGTGCTTAACTTATGCTCTAATGATCTCTCTTGATGAAGATTCACAACCCCCAAAGAGATCTCACCCTTTTTTACCTAGCACTCTACTCATAGTCTCACAATGCAATGCAAAGACCATTGGTTTGCTTCTGCTTTAAAAAAACTAAGATAAATTAAAACTCCATGTGATATGGCTTCAGTATTGTAGGAATTCAGATACCTCATTGGTGTCAGATATGATGAAACTTTACAATTACAAAATAGTCTTTTTGTATCTCTGCCATACGTTTGTGCAAAGTTCTAAGTTAAAGATTTTGTCATTGTTAAAATCATGAGTCCTTTAAAACTTTTCAAATAAGTGAATCGACTATTCTGTTTGATCACTTTACAACCTATCTTTGAGCTAAAAGTCCAGGAAGACCAGTTGCACTGAAACCGTCTGAAACAGACCTACTGGAGTCTGCCTAGTTACACTGATTTAAAAGTAGAACTTAGGCACTGTTGTAAAACGTTGTTCCATACTACTATTACTTAAGATTGTTTGATATATGTGTTATTATCAGCTGGATAATGCTTCGGGTAATGCCTTCCGATAAATCCATATTAGTGCATCTCATATGCGCATTTATAAGATTACTTGCTCTTTGTCATCAATATATTCGTCAAACACAGGAAAAGACGTTGTCCGAATTGATGAAAACTGACACTAAGCCGGTGATGGAGACAGAATACTTCTGCTACAACATCGGCAAAAGAGTACCGCCTGTTGTTTTAGAACATTGGCCCGGACTAAGACTACATATAACTTTACACACGTGATTACCCATACAAAGACATCACATATAAAGCATACCTATGAAAATGTTAAGTCCTTATTGAAGAAGTAACATAATCATTTACCCGAACCAGACAACGATAATCTTGCAGAAACGTAGTAGCGTACATAGAATGCTATAGTAACAAGGGAAACAGTTGACAACTTGTAGGCTATTAAAAGTCAGAGGATTTCTATAGCCTCTTGAGAAATAACCGAGGATACTTTCAGCAAGTACTATACGTGAATAAAAACTGCTTAAACGCAAACTAAATAAAGGTCTCCACGACGACAATGTGTGGTAGTGAATGCAAACATTCTGACTACTAGGCAATACTAAAATGCAATATATTTTACTAATCGGATGAATCCAAGGGAAGCAATATTAAGTGAAATAGTCTCTAGGAGAGGTGGAACTTTAATGGTGTTATAAAACAGACCGCTGAAGCGTTAGGTAGGAAGCCCTAAGGAGAATATTATCCGTCCTACGGCTCTACTGCGACTACTCACCGACGAATTCCCACCTGAATGGACCTAAGATATCAGCTTTGTAAATCTGGTAGGAGTTATGAGCAATATCCCAAATATGAAAAAATGTTGCGCTAAATGACCCAAGAAGTGTTTATGGAAGATGATAATTAATTATTTACTGTAAAAACTGGATAGTCCATGAGATCATAATGTGGTTTTGACTGAATGGGTCAGATCACTGCCTATCTCAATTTATAAAAATCAGCTTAAGTAATGAAATATCAAAGATCCCAGGGTGTGTGACCGTACAAAGACTTGATGGAGTCCAAGGGAAATAAACAAAAGAGAAAACTGCTGTTTAGGACTAGGATATACCAATCAAATTATAAAAAGAACGGTTGTCTTTCGAAGTGACCATATAGTCCCATTGAGAATAAGTACTAACGAAACGCAATTTTATGCAATGCCCTAATCGAAATCTGATCACTCATGACATACCCATACAAGTCAACGCCATCGTGGTTGAACGGTGTGTTGCGCACACGATGATACACCACTTTACTCAACCAGCATTGGCCGATACAGAATGATTATGTTGGCCGTCTCAGAGTGGTAAAACCGAAATACTGCATTCATTCATTATTTCCGCCTTAGAAACAAATTGTCATTGTAATCGAGGTTCAGTTTGGCATTATCGGGATATATATGGAAAAGCTGTTTGTTTAGATTTCGACTGGATCCAACTGTATTGCTTCACCTGTTTTAAAAATGTGTTCCTTAATGGAAATTAAATCTTATCTGTACACACGTAAGCAGTTGGACAACACTAGTTACCCATTTTTGCTGATTGGTAAGACTAACGACTTAGTTGTTTGTAAGTAAACAAAATTGTTTCACTAATAAATTTCACTACTCCTGGAGTTCGAATTAGCAGAAAAATGAATCAAAGCACTTTCGTGCATCTGCCTTTCTATATGCCCAGGGATATTGAATTGCTCTAACTTTATCTATCTTTTCCGCAGACTCCCTCATACAAAGTGATATGCTTTAAAAAGACTCCCTACCTGATACATTTATCGCGGATGTAGATTTATTCTTGTGAAATGAAAAATTTCCCAGTATTATCTCATTTGTACTCTAACCATAATTGCACTGGTTACACGTAAGTTAGTTAAGTTAGCAGTCGGATTAATTTGAATTAATAACACTGATGGTACAGATTCCATGGAAAACAGTTTAACGACTTTTTTTCTTTTTTTTCCAGAACGAATTCTCTAAGTTTAGTTGGTACATCACTCTGCTACTTATATACGAGGTCCTCTAATTTTAATTTTCACATAACTTAAGTTTCCGTTTCAACTGAAATTACCGGTGTAATGCAGTAATTTTAGTCATGAACTTCAAAAAGTGGTAATCCGGATAAGGAAGCATTAATGAAACCTTACTTTCATTAGGCATTTTGATGGATCAACTCAAATATTCACACTTACAACTGAGTAAAAACAAACAATTACTACCGCAGAAATTATTAAATTTACCGAAAATGATTGGATAGTAGAAGATCAATAGTTGTTGAAACGTTTGAACTACACCACTTCGGTAAACATAAGAATCCATGAGAGCTAGACAGAAAATTATTGGGTAATATTAGAAAATAAACACAAAAGGCAACATAACGAGGGAAAACAATGACAATTCATAGAATATCACAACTAATTTTCAATAATAAATATAAATACAACAGGCAAAGTTATTCAACATTAGGCGCCATTGATTTATTTGCGCAGACAATAAAAGTTAACATTGAGAAGATTGTTACAAACTCTGATTTTGATGCATACTTGGCAAAGTCTTAACTTGTATCATCTTTCAAACTTCACTTCCACAAAATTTACCACACATAACCATATATACAGTCACAGAGTTAAGATATTAAAGTAAAACATATTACTGCACTAAGTTGTGAGTGTATACGGCTAAGAAGTGTATGTCTGCCTGACACTCGAAATATTTTTAAAGTTCTACCATGTTAACATTGGCCATTCCGAACCAATATAAACTCTCGATTAAGCAAAATGATACAATATATATCCAATTTTTCATGTAAATCAAACTGGAATTAAATATAAACCGACACCGAAGGACTGATATACATGTGACGCGTGAATAACACATAATAAATACTACATTCACAGTTTTTAAAAGACTTTACGCCTTGTCAAGTGTTAATATTGTGAATATATATATATATATATATATATATATATATATATATATATGGTAAGATGAAATAAAACACGTTACGCTATGTTATGAAATGAAAATCTGTGTTACAGAATGTCTTATAAACATAATAACGGGTACAAGGATTGGCAAAATCTTCTGCACTAAGTCCCTACGGTCAGAAGAGTGAGTTGGGAACATCCGCATCTGGTGGATTTCTGCTATATATGGCAAAGTGTTCACAATACTCACTCAATCTAAATAAATCAAAGTTAAATTAAAATGTGAGTACCCTCAAGCATATGGAAGTTGGATTCAGAGGACTTTAATGCTAAATCAACAAAGCCACCAATACTGAAATACTAGTGTTACACCACCAAGAAAACACTTTTTCTGTTCGTTACGCACTACATTTTCTGCAGATTTCCGCGAGATCGACATCGCAATGCTAACTTTGCCTTCTTTAATTGTTACCAATAATTTATGTAAATAAAGCAAACTAGATAATCTTCGGAAGATGGTGTCATGGCTGCACGCTAGTCACAAGTAAAATCTCTAGAAATGTGATGTGTATCTGTAAAACTATACCAGAGTAAGACAATGGATAATGGCCAGTTGCTGCATACTTTTTAAAAACCGTCTATTTTCAGTGGAAATCGATTTTAACATAAAAATATTACTTGACCTAAAAAATACTGGCCTAAGCCGAAAGATAAATACGAATCAAACATATCAATTAAACTTTGTGCCTTAATGAACACAGAACGATTCTACCTAGAAAACCGTTCCGAGTTAGGCTTGAAGGTCGAAATTCCAGGAATAGATGCATAACAGCAATTAGCATATAAGGAGTGTTTCAGGACCATTGTCAGCCCACTGAAAGAATTAGAGTAGAAATTCTTTGGTTGGATAGTATATAGTAACTAATATTATGTGTCTAGTTCTTGGTGTTGGTATAGATTGAATTCTATCAGCCAGGTTTGCAATGTGGCTGCTATACTAGGTTCCTTCTTGATTGCAGATACACCTTGCTGATAAGTGACAATAGACATGAAACTCAGTTTTAAGGCTTCTTGGCAATTGAATCTGACCATCTAACAGGAATAAAGATTGCACATTTAGTTTAGTCGGATACAGAAGGTTTATAAACACAAGCAACTTTGTTCCAACTAATTGATGCAGAATATTCTACCCTAATAAGGTTCTGATAGGAAGAGCTGCTGGTACGATAGGGGGAGACTACAGTTATCATCAACTGTGATAAGAAACGAAAATCAAAGATATCAGGTAGCAGTAAAAATTATGAATATGCACTTTTCAAGAGTTGAAGATCATTTGGAGAGATTGTTATAAAGGCGAAAAGTTAGTGGAGCACTTTGAAAACGTCAAACACAAACAATGAGAAGAGTCCTTCAAAAAGTACTCTAAGCAGTCATTAACCATCTGCCTGTGGTTTAACTTTAACTCCAAAGTCATGTAAAAGTTGCAGTAGTTTTAACAGCAGCGGCAGATCTGTCCACAAGGATGACTGTCTAGTTTTTTTTAATTGTGGCATTAGTAGAGATACGGATGGGTAGCAGTCGACAAAAGTTTCAATTCTATCGCTATTTATAAGGTTGTCGTATCCATAATCACTAGACTTCAAGATGACATTGTGGAACAATATGCTTGTGGAATCCAAGTGGATATTAAACCCACAAGTATCTTCACCTCCACCACCATATACATACTTCCCATGTTTCCTGCTTTGAATTCACTGTTGGACTTCGTCAAAACATAAAGCTCCCATGCAACTATTTTTCAATGACTTTTAAATACAAGAGTAACTTTATCACAGCTTATGATGTGATTTCTTCATTTTCGTCCGATTTCGTAATGAATTTCCCTCATTCGGCTCCCTACATAAGATACAGTAAACTTAGAATACGCAAGTAATATTTCTCAGTTAAGTGAAGGTGTAGGGAAAAAATAAAGACTTTTTCGCACTTCTAGTGATCATATGAGAATGTATTTTCCACCAAAGGCGAATCGTTTACAGAGACTTTTTTATAGGAAAGTAGAGAGAATCAGTTGATTAACTTGTAGTATATTTGAATAGCTCGTCAGATAGAGGGTGGGAGGGATATTCCCTACGAGTATCTGAGCGCGCTGAATAGCACTGAGCTCTGCGAAGGCTATGAACATTTTGTTGAAAGTTTGGAATCATCAGGTAGGTGACAGAGAAGTTTTTGCCAACCACTACTCATATAATACTGGTTCCTTGAATCTAATCAGTAGACACACACAGGCCTGAGTTCACTACTTTTAAACGCTCACTAACAAAAAATACAAAGATAACTGATGCTACCAAGATAGTAGCATTCTCTTGTGCTTGACAACAAAAGGCAAACGATAACTGAATATACAAAAGTAAAACTTAGTTCACTTTGTAATAAGTCTTATAAATTATTTTATAACTGTTGTTTGGAACTCACGATAAAGGGTCAGTATTGAAGCCTATCACTGGTTTATTAGGGTGTAGAATTTTGCTGGCACCAAAAAGAAATGTCCCATCTCCACCAGCAGTAAAAACAACATCGGCCCAATTGACAGAATCCATTGAATAAGTACGACGATCTACAACCCGCACTTCCAAACCGCGTCCTCTAGCACACATGAAAGTGCAAACAATAATACAATGTTTAAAATATTTTCAAAGCATCAATTAAAAACTCTATAGTAGAATATGCACGAATGATTCCAACTGAAATAGATGATGAAGCTATATGAGTTTCTCAGTTTCCCAAAGCACTGAAGTTGAAACAAGTGTGCGTACAATGAATTAGTCATTACACTCTATAAGGGTAGAATACGCTAGTGAACAGCATTCAGAAAATAACTTGGAAGCCTATCAATGGCGATGTACAGAAAAAATTTGATGATAACTGTAAATTTGAGAACTTGAGTAAAAGTGCTTTACACACAAAGACTAGTAGTAAATGCGAAATGGTACATTTTACTCAGTGGGACATGAACCCAATAAAGACAACTCTCATAACACCATCACTTGGTAATCTGGATTTGGAAAACATCCATCGACTACTCTGTTACAAAATTTAAGGTAATTAAAGATTGACTTCTTGTAATAAATGTTTGATGTACTTATTACTAATGAATTCTACCCTATGCAAAGAAAGACATGCTTCTACCGATTGATAGTGATACCAACAAAATGACACTCACTGTAATGATATCAAAGTAGAGGTCATCACAGGACTACAAATGCTGGGTGCTTGGAAATGATTAACTATCAAATGTTCAACTGCTCGAAAAAATCATTCTGAGTTATGATCAAAGCTAAATTTATTTGGTACTTAGTTCATTACTGTCCAATTCTCTCTTATTTGCGAATCATGAGAATGCAAAACAGAAAGTGACTATACTAAAGACTTTTTGAATGAAAAAAGTGAAGTGAAACATGTAAAATAATAATCTGATAATAAATAAAAAACATTATCTGCCCGAATAACGCTGATCTAATCCATTTTCTTTATTATTATTATTATTATTAGTAGTAGTAGTAGTAGTAGTAGTAGCAGTAGTAGTAGTAGTAGTCTGAAACCTCTGAGATGCTTCCCTATGTCCGAAACAAAACTTCAGAGTCCTTACAAATTTTAAATTTAGTGTCTAGAAAATACTGGGCACACAGTGGAGTCAGATGTAGTCTTGCTGTTGCATGATCATAGAATTTACAGAATTTTTCTGTACATGCAGTAATATCCAACTGGTAATTACACGGTATTTTTATTTATAACCCAAGCTTACAGATTTCAGAAGCATATACTGTGTTACCACTCGGATAATAGTCATTTATTTCATGACATCGCTGTATTATTCAAGAATAATTTTTCTAACGCACCTAAACTATTTACAGGATTACTTCAATTAGAAATAACGCTTCGTACAGAGTCTCAAGTAATTTTAAAATGTGTTGATCATTATGCTTTCTGATTTACAGACAGTCTCAATTGCATCAAGTTTCCAGCCATAGGTAGTTTAAGTCAACTGGAATATTTTCAAATATTTGCCGGATGCAACTGCTGCTTTTATGTCATCTGCACTCCTGCAAACGAAGATTTTCTTATCTTTGTTAAGTCTTTGTGCTCTAGATTGCTATTTAAGACATTGTGCTATCAGAAGTTTCTGTTTTACTTTCATCAATAATAATAATAATAATAGTGTAAATAATTAGAACCATAATAAATAACAATAACAGTGTAAAGACTATTTCTTCCTGCCTGCCATGATTAACAAACACCCTTATAAGTAATTTTTAAGCTTCGATTTGAGGGAAACTATAACATTATGGCAATCGTTTGAGCCTTTCAACAGATTAATAAAATATAAGTAAAATTTGCTGTTAAAAATCCAAAAAAGTAACACGGATATACTGAAGACCTTATAGCATATGAATTTCTTTGTTGTAACCTATAACCACTTATTTAGTTGTACCTTATATTCGAGCACTAGATACATCTTATTCATTGTTTTTATCTTCAGCGTGAATATATGTGAGGAATAGTTACAGTGAACTAAGTATTTAAGGATGAGGGAATTTTTTAAGACAAATAAAAATACGGGAAATTACATAATCAATCTTACTTACATCAAAGTATTTTGCAATTCAGATAATTTCGCGTAGTGTGTTTTATGTCGTGAGATTACAATCTGGTCATCAAAGCCTTTCCTTTTCATCTAAACCAATTATATGAATTACTACAATTAAGCAGACATCGATAAGCATACAGATTTTTTTAACTCATCATCGTTGTGATGATTTCCGGTAGATTTTTCACAATCATATTTGGATAACTTGGACAATATCAAAGCAGTTCTTGGTTTGAATTCTGGTGTTTGTTTTGGCGAGAAGCTGAAAGATCTCTGCAAGTTTCTTAGACATGTGGTGCCACCAACGCAAACGAGAAGACGACATGAGGACATATCCTGTTCAAACAGAAATGACCAAAAAAATAATATTTACATACAGATGATTTTCTAATAAAAAATTTGTAAGCGCTTATTAAAACTGACTGACTTACGTAGCAATCCCCACAAAAGTGGATTACTTTCAGTTATCCGACCTACGAAGACATGCCGCCTCACAATTTCCCCAAGTTGCTTCCCCTATTTAGCCAATACCACCTGGCCACTTTGTAGCCCTTTAGTGATCATTTGTATCTTCGTAAACAGGTTACGTTTATTAATTGAATAACACATTTTTGATTTTTTTGATAGTATAATATATATATATATATGTATATATGAGGCTAGAATAATCACTAAGTTATTTTACTCTCAAATATGGTTCACAACAAGTTATCTTAAATAAACGTCACAAAGCCTAATTTGACTGGCTGAAACTGCTAAAAGTCTGTTAACCCAGACATGAAAATTGTCGTAACCAAGGGTCAAACCAAGGTAGGAAACATAAAACTAGCAAGAACATATTTTGTAAATAAATTGCATAAGCTGACAACTTACTTTTCTCAGGTTTACGGCGAAAATGATGACCAAGTTTTTATAATCGTCTGAGAAGTGTCGCGGATTATATTCGGTCACGAATACACACCATCATCGTCTTGGGTGAGCACAAGAGATAAAACAGCGACGAAAACACTCATATTTAGATGGATATTAAAATTAAACACATTGAAATTGGCTGGACATACTGATGTCTTACAAAATTTCACTGAATTCTCACACTCGGAGCTTCTATACACCAAAGTTATAAAGCTAACTTTCATCACCACTCGTGATTAAGTGGACTGAAGAAATCCAAACTCGTAACAACGAAAGTAACTCCATAATTTAACTTTAAGCTTTACGTACATAGATAATGAATAGAACGGTGATAATATCGTCTCCTATATGTGTACCTACCAACGTGACTACTTCTGTAGAGCCACTAAGTTTGGGCGTACAGTTAGGCATTTTCTGATTTTTGAATATCATCCCGCATGGCAAAGTACATGACAAATTAAGTTAGGTTATAGTTACCATGCAGCAAATGATCAATACTAAGTAATTTGAATTTAATAGTCGTACTGAAACGGTAAAAGACGAAAGACTTGGTAAAGGAATGTTTATTTGGAAATTGGTATCTCTATACAGCCAAACTATGTACACCTTATCTTCAACGCACAATTTGCACAGATCTTCGTGTTGTGGTACTTCTAGCCTTTATATTGTGTTTCTTTCAAATCTCTCATGTATCTCTACAACGCTGTATCATTTTCTCTCTCTGAGATCAAAAGTATCTCCTTGCTATTTGATACTTTTATGCCAAAGAGCGTTTCTTTATATATTATTTTTTTAAATATTATCAGTAGCACTCGCCACAGTCCTACTACTAATCTCAATTTCGTTTTACAAGTTGGTTTTCCACAAACAGAAATTTTAGAATCCATCTGCATAGGCTGAATCCATGTTCAGAAGACATTCATATAAGCACTTCTTTGTCTTGGGCATCCTTTCAACTCAGCATATATAAGTGAAAAGTCCGATGACTCGCCCAACCCCAATCTTAAAATCTAATGATTCGAAGTAGATTAGAATCTGCCTACTTCGCATTCCCTTGCTCTTATGTGATTAATTTTAATAATTTGATCACTTATTCGACTTTTTATTCTTATCCTACAAATCGCGTGTCATTTAACCACCTTCCATAATCTTCATTCTGGAACATAATAATCTCTACTTTCTAGCTGATGCCCTGATTTGTTTTATTAACTATTACTCTTTTGATAGGATAGCAGTGACAAGTGACTGTTGAAAATCTTATTACCATAAGATTATTGTATTAGGTACTGTATTAGTAAATACAGAGAAGTGGAAGAAAGCAGAATAGAAAAGTAAGCAATCCCTGGCTTAATCTGTTGCTTTCTTGAAGTGGGATGAAGGTTTTTGACCTGTAGCAAAAGCCAAACAATGTTGAAGGAAATGATTAGAATATTATGTAAACAGGACCGTATACACAGGTTTTAATTTTTAATCTAACGTCCCTAAAATCGTATATATATATATACAGTTATTAATACCATTTGCGCATTTTTCGAATGTTCGTCAGTATCATTTTCTTAACTAATTTTTTGTCCATTCTTTCTACCTGCCACAATTTATTTTGATACTTGTCTCCAAGCTCTTTTATTAAAATCTATCCTTTCTATACATTCTTCACATTACTCAACCTTTGCAATAAACTTTCAAATCCTCGCTCTCTAGTTGTAATATGACTATTCATCACCGTTTTGGATTACTTTGATACAAACAATACTCCAAACTAAATTTATTCTTGTACCATATTTGACGGACTTAATACACACATATATACGAAAATTATTGTACACTACTGAAATCATACAGATGAATGAATGAATTAGTTGAAAATAGTTTCTCGACTGAACTATCTATTCTGCACACTATATCTGTAAGGGTATTTTCCATTATCATACCGAAGGAGGAGAGGAGGCTTAATTTCGGCATACCGTATATTCGACGGTGATTTAAGGATTGACCTTTCAAACCTTTTCTCTCCCTCTAGGATACATTTACGAGGTCACCACGAGGTGCTCAAACCGAGGTCGAATAATATACGTGTGGAGTTTAGATTCTCTCACAGAGTAGTAAACGATTGGAACTCCTTACCTGATTCAGTAGTAACAGCTCCATCGGTGAACGCTTTCAAAGAGAAAATGGATCTCTGCAGAGGATAAACAAAGGCAACAAGAGCCTTCTATGCTTACGATGTGAATCTGAGTTAGGAAAACACCAGATTTATTGAACCTATTCCACTTTTTGAATACCTTGCAAGAAATTTCCAACTGCTTAAGATCTACACACAAAGACTGCAACAGGATATGTGCAAATACAAAGTAGGCACCCCGCAATGACTAGTTTGTTATGCTTATTTTCTACGTCTTTTGCTAAAACACATGCTTACTATTACGATACGTGTATTACGTGCAACAGACGTGACGCCATAATATGGATATGATAAGGTTGATAGGAAGAAAAGATATGGCCAAAATTTATTCACCGAAATCTTTTACACATATGTGTACGATTACAACAGCCTAATAATACATTTGACAGGAAGTTAAATAGTACGGCTTGGAGAGATGCATCAAAAGCTGATGAGCGTGTTATGTGGTTTTTCCAAATAAACAGTTCATTATCTCTACAATTTTGTTAATTTATAAATACCTGCAAACCGCAGAAATAAATTTTTACGAACGACGTTGACGACTGAAAAAACGAATAAGAAGAAAAAATTCCGTACGTGTTTACTATATTCATATAAAACAGAAAAATATACAAGTATACGATGTTATAACGGAAACCGCCTCACAAATTTCAGCTTCAAGACCTAAATGACCTTAAGAACCATTCTGCCGCCTACATCGCTTCAATATCCAATCCCATACCTAACACGTGGTGTAAGCCAGACTGACTTTTTGAAGCAGACATGAAAAATTCATGTTGCGATCTTCAGGATGATCTCATTTGGTTTTTGGCTGTGATCGTCTTACAAATATATACTGCCATAAATTATATTCTCGAACAGACTACTTCGTGTGACTTGACAATACGTCTACTTTGAACACCATTAGGCTTTTCGCCAGTTACTCCTTCACTTCAGCCATAGAAAGCGGAACTATGCGCTGTACTAACTATGGTAAGGAAGCCATTAAAACTCGTTACTGTTTAAGGCTAACAAGTGCTGCTATCTTGGTGAACTGAAAGTGTCAAGCATGCTCAAGATTATCAGCCTGGTGTCATATTCGTACAGGTTAGTCGGCTTTGGTGGACTGCTGTTTGCTTATGATCTGTTCATACGCCAGTTTCAGCTTGGGCTTATTTGCAATTATGAAGATTGTTCACTAGCGTTCATTTTTACGTTCTCTTAGTTTTCGTTTTCGTTAAAATGAATAATTTCATTCTCTTCGAAAGTTTATGCCACTAGTCGTTTGATACACTGCTTTCATGCTTGATTGCAGCGTTTTAGTTATTTTTCAGCTGTCATTGGAAAAATGTTGTGCAGTTTTCGACATGTTGCACGTTGATTTCCGATGTCATAAGTTTTCTTCTATTTCTATCGGTGGTTGCCTTGATTGCTGCTGTTTCATATGGTTAATTAATTTGGAGAAATATGGAGGACAAAATTTGTATTCTTCTTGATATATACCGAATGCAACCAACTACTAGAAATGGCCGGACTTATCCGGCATGTTGGTTGAAATTTCGCTTGGTAAATTTTGTGTGTAAGTTGATAAAATTGTGTTATATGTTTTCTAGATTGATAGAAATTCTCATTTTCTGGCGAGGAATTTTGGTGTCCGCGTCATGTGATCTGACCGGGTCACATTCTCAGCATATCGGTTGTAACGATTAGTGTATCAGGCAGGCTGTCAAAATTTCGCTTTAATGAGCAAGATGGGATAGTTGGAGGGTAATGTCATCTACACAAATAGACTACTTTATGTAGAAGCTGCACCTTTCGGCATGACATCATTCAATGAAGACTTCAGGTCTCAAGATATCAGTGCAGCATATTTTTGTGTGAAAAACAGTACTATTAGACAACTGAATTTTATTAGTACATGGAAGTCACCTGTAAATGCTAACAGAACCTACTGTGGGAACCTAGTTAAGTTATCATGATATGTGTCTTTCAGCTTATCTGTGCTTGGGCAGGAATTATCGTAAGTTGAAAGGCTATCTCTAAGTGGATTTAATCTATATTTGCAGTGCAATATGGGTTATGTGAATTCAGTGTATAAAAAATATCTCAACTTTATTAATATTGTGCCATTTTCTGCCTAGCTGACTATTAGCTAACAAATGTAAGTGGTTCTCATGATTGCTCTAAGTGTAGTGCGGTGGAGAAGTAAATTACCTGTTTAATTTTCCTCACTATTTCACTTTATGCATTAGTTCAGTATATGGCATTGTTATACACATGGACTGTGCTGATTGTGAGAGGTGCTGTACCATTGCCACTGACACTGCATGCTTAATGCTGCGATATTTTTGATCTCCAATAATGGAGATGAATTTCTCCCGTAATTTTCAATTACGAAAGTAGCACAGAGGCACCGCGTCGGTGGCACAGTGGTTAGGACGCTCACCGACCATGCACATGGTCCGGTGTTCGATCCCCGGCCGACGTACACCTTTACCTCTCTAAGTCAGGAATAGTACTGGTAAAGTGGGAAGGTTGGGCATGAGGCTGGCAGCCGCTTAAAGCCCTTTGTTCCACTGAGAACGTGAAAAAATAAAAAATCACGATTGAATGTCTATGTTGTTATTCATGGCACTGTTATCCTCGTCAACACAATATGTCGGTGTATCTTACAATATTTTAAGTGTTTCTCTATGTCATTGACACTACATAACTGTTTAGAGTTGAGGCAGGTGCAGCCTGTATTTGATGGCTATAGTTTCCTAAATATGAGAATGTAATTTCTGTGGGATTCACATAACCATGTTCACTAGACATTACTGAGGCTATGGATTAATTCCTAAGTTACACATTTGCGACACTTCCTTTAATGTAAACTTAATTATTGCGAAGTTCATCTGCAAGTAATCTTGGTGAGAGAACGATGCCTCAACAATATGG